CCGAATTTCGAAAAAAACGGAAAATATGTGATAGTCCCTACGCTCTTCTATATACATACCAAATTTCAGATCGATATCTCGTTTTAAGTTATAGCGAAAAAACTGTTCAAAAATGATCACGTCAAATTTTTGAACTCAATTTTTAGCGATTCTAGACCTTGTACAGCAAAACAAAGACCAATATTGAGCTCCCCGTGACGAGTTGCATCGATTCGATACCCATTTTATGCAAAAATACCAACTTTGAAATTTGACCTAATTTGACCTGACCTTGACCTGACCTTGACCTGACCTTGACCAGAATGTGACCTAAGCTGGCCCCAAAGGCTGCCTGATCCACATAATCGCATTTGTTATGTAAAATGGACCATAAAACATGTATCACACGACACTTTCATATTGTGAACCCCCTAGTGACCTGACCTCTGTGACCTGACCTGGTATCAGTGACCTCAACTAGCAAAATATGTGTTTGGAGAGCATTTCCCCATCGATGATTTTCAATGAAATGCATTTTACCCGATTTTACAACGCATTTCTTGAAATGCCTGTAAACGGTGAAAATTGGACCTTTGACCTGACCTGTGACGTCATCGGTTTGACCTAGGTCAATAAGATTGGGTCACAAGGTAGTTCCCTGATAGGGCTATCCAACACGGTTTGCCGCTTGTCGCTAGGTTGCGTGGTTCTCGAGATCTTAGCCCGCGCCCTGGTGGGGTCTGTTTATAACGCGACCTGGTGGGGGGGGGGGGCTATTTTTTGCCCCCCTCGTATCTCCGAAACTACTGGACGGATCCGCAAAATTCAAACGGCGTTCGAAAGGCCTGTCAAATTTGTCGAAGGAATCCAAATTTCATTGACCTCGGGGTCATCGATGACGTCACAGGTCAGGTCAAAGATGAAATGTTTCACCGTTCACGGGTCTTCTAGGGAATGCGCTATAACACAGAGGAAAACGCATTTTGTCGAGAATCAGCGGTAGGGCGTCAGTTGCCTAGTAGATATGTTGCTATTAGAGGTCACTGGCAATACCAGGTCAGGTCACAAGTCAGGTCACCAAGGGTCACAGGTCAGGTCACATGAGCCCAACTTTACTAACGTTGTGTGATACATGTTTTATGGCCAATTTTTCATTTCCAACTCAATGGTGTTGGTTATAAGACTATCAGGTACGGCTTAGGTCACTTTCTGGTGAAGTTCAGGTCAAGGTCAGGTCAAGGTCAGGCCAAAAAAGGTCAAATTTTAAAGTTGATAGTTTTGCATAAAATGGGTATTGATTCGATGCAGCTCGTCAGGGGAGTCTAATGGTGGTCTTTGTTTTGCGCTACGGGGTCTAGAATTGCTAAAATTTGGGTTTGAAAATTTGACGTCATCAATTTTGAACAGTTTTTTCGCTATAACTTCGCCAAAATAAGAGGTATCAATCTCAAATTTGGTATGTGGATGGAAGGCCGTAAGGACTATCACATATATTCCGGTTTTTCCGAAATTCAAAAAACTTTTTGGATTTTTCGATTATTATATCTAAAAAAATGCTTTTTTATTTTTGGGGGTTCAAAATCCAAAAATTTCAAAAATCCGAGATAGCAGTTTTGTAGCCCTGTCCAATCTACAGCTTTCATGTCTTTATCATTTTTCTGTATTTGCAAAGCTATAAGCCTGACAGCTCTTCCCGCGAAACCCTTTTTTGGGTCGAAAACGGCAGAACATGACGTCACTCTGACGTCATTTCCGGCCAACCTATCATAGCCTTTGGAAAAATTTTTGGTCACAATGTGTAAAATTGATGTCCGGGAGGGTACTGAAAGTTTGGTGACGATCGGCGCAGCGGTTCTGGAGATATATCGAAAAGTCTTGAGGGGGGCAAAAAATAGCCCCCCCCCCACCAGGTCGCGGGTTAGGGGGGGGGGGCGAAATGCCCCCCCCCCAACGGGGCGCGTTGCTCGGCAGAGCCCAACGGGGCGCGGGTTAAATGACGAAAATATTTTTACCCCCCACCGCCTCAGGCGATCACGTGCCGTCACCCACCTGGGTACAACGCACTGTCAAATGACGTATGTCGCAATTTCGAGCTGCCGATGCACGTGCGCACGTGCACATTCCATTTCTGTACCTCAGAAACTACTCGTGCGATTTAGCTCAAACTTTGTGTCCAGCGAAGTACCTACCTAACAACCACTGCTGGTCCATTGGTGGTATACAGATGTATAGGTATAGTGTGAGAGCATTGATCTTGAAATCACTGGCGGACTGGATATAGCTCGATATCATTGGTGTCTGTCGGTCGTCGTGAGGTGAATAAATGAGATTCAATTATTATTATTCATATGTAAAAGCGCACATTATTTGTGAATGACATGTGTCGTTTAGCGCTGAAACAAAAAAGCGATACATGAGTTACTCTGACAATGATTGAATGAAGGCATTTCAATCGTGCAACTAACAGTGTATGATGGATGCTGCATTTCCTATGTGGTTTTAACCCGCGCCCCGTAGGGCTACCGGCGGACCCTACCACCCGTAGGGGGGGTGGGGGCCGTTTCGGCCCCCCCCTAAGATCTCGGAAAGTTACCGGCCGATTTTCAAAATTCAAACGGCGTTCGATAGTCCCACCCGGGAACTACCTTGTGACCAAATTTCATTGACCTAGGTCAAACCGATGACGTCACAGGTCAGGTCAAAGGTCAGATTTTCACCGTTCACAGGCAATTCAAGAAATGTGCTGTGAAAGCGAGTAAATTGGTAATTTATTGAAAACCATCGATGGTATATTGTTCGTCAAACACATACTTTGCTATCTGAGGTCACTGATACCAGGTCAGGTCACAGCGAGGTCAGGTCACCGGGGGTCACAATATGAATGTGTCGTGTGATACATGTTTTATGGTCCATTTTACATGACAAATGCGATTATGTGGGTTAGGCAGCCTTTGGGGCCAGCCTAGGTCACGTTTTGGTGAAGGTCAGGTCAAGGTCAGGTCAAATTAGGTCAAATTTCAAAGCTGATATTTTTGCATAAAATGGGTATCGATTCGATGCAGCTCGTCACGGGGAGTCTAATGGTGGTCTTCGTTTTGCTCTACGAGTTCTAGAATTGCCAAAAATTGAGTTTGAAAATTTGACGTCATCATTTTTGAACAGTTTTTTCGCTATAACTTGGCCAAAAAACGAGGTATCGATCTGAAATTTGGTATGTAGATAGAAGACGGTAGGCACTATCACATATATTCCGGTTTTTTTCGAAACTCAAAAAACTTTTTGGATTTTTTGGCGAATATATCCAAAAAAATGCTTTTTTGATTTTTGGGGGTCAAAACTCAAAAATTTCAAAAATTTGAGATAGCAGTTTTGTAGCCCTGTCAATTCTACACCTTTTATGTCTTGATCATTTTTCTGTATCTTCAAAGCTGTAGTCCTGACAGGTCTTCTCGCGAAGGTCTTTTTTCGGTCGAAAATGACAGAACATGACGTCACTCTGACGTCATTTGTGGCCAACCTATCATAGCCTCTGGAAAAATTTTTGGTCACAATGTGTAAAATTGATGCCCGGAGGGGTCCTGAAAGTTTGGTGGCGATATCTCCAGCCGTTTAGGAGATATCGACCGAAAAGGACAGGAGGGGGCCGTTTCGGCCCCCCCCCCCCTACGGGGCGCGGGTTAATTGGCATGGAGCAAATGAATGAAATAAAGAAGTGTGAACTTTTCATGATTTTCACTTTTCTAAAAGTAGCCTAAAACAGTTAACACGTTGGTTCTTTTAAAGTTTATTTCACATTTTGTTAGTAAACAATAAGCATACGCATATAAGAAATACTAGCTACAATAGTCTGACAGATCTAAGAAAAAACGGATGTGCCGTCGCCGTTGATGCACGTGCCTTCAAATTTCCTGAAATATATCCGAAAACATCTCTCTCACGCCTTTTCAAGCAAATTTTACCCGAACCATACATACTCAACTCAGTGAGCAAAAAACACATGCAAAGTGATTCAGGCGCTTTCACTACGTTCTTTATTAGGTTTGCCAGAGTAGGTATAGTTTAACCCTCGCATGTGTGCGGCGTTTGCCAGCTTCTAATGTGTACGGGGGGTCGGTTGGACCCCCCTTGCCGTTTGGCCCCTGATCGAACTAGAGCTTCGCGGAAAAAACGAGCGTGTTGCCCGTGACGAGAGGAAGCCGATGATAGCCAATTTTAAGGTCCTAGGTCATTGGTTGACCTTCCAGGTCAGGTCAATGACCCAAAGTCGGGAAAATCGGGACACCTATTAGAAAGTCGTAAAGTGTGGCTGCTAAGGGGTTTTTCGGGGTGCTGATCACGAATATCGTGTTAGTTTTGATCACAGATGATGTCTTTAAGCATTTAGACCAGGTCGGGTCAGGTCAGGTCAGGTCAACCAGTAGGCGTCGTGACGGGTATTCGTAGTACGTGTCAACCGCCTCTGACAGCTTCGTAACATGTTACGAAGGCACCAAAACTTCTTCATAAATGTTCAAATGGTTGCTAAACTCGAATTCAGCTCCAAAAACTAGCCTGGAAACATGTAAAACTCGAAAATGTGAACCGAGGTCACCCGAGGTCACCAAAGGTCAATGACCTGACCTGACCTTCAGGTGACCTTGACACCCACCCTAATGCATGGGAGTAACATCAAATCACATGTTTGAACGTTTGAAACCACGAAAAGCTTGCAAACGCGCGGCTAATGCGTGCCGACATACGCGGAATCGCGATTCCGGCCAAACATGGTCTCGGAAAAGAGGTCTCAGGTCAAAGGTCATTTGGGTCAGGGTCATGAAATTTTCAGGGTCGGTGTAAAATTGATCAATGCGAGGGTACTGAAAGTTTCGTCGCGATCAGCCGCTTTTTACGCGAGTTATTCGCGAAAAACCATGGGGGGGGGGTCCATCCGACCCCCCCCCCACACATGCGAGGGTTAAGTTATTGACGAAGTTAGAACATAAGAACAGTATAACAGTTTCTCCATTATTGTATAGTCTTGCTTTGAATTCCAATTGAGTGTTACGACAATGTCTCGGTTTCGTCATGGCAGTGTCTTCAACTAAATTCGGTTTTAATATAGTAGCAGCATCCTAGTTGGCATGGCTGTGTTATCGGCCGTATGGTAGGTATATAGGTATTGCATTTAACATTCGAACGTTCTTGCCATTACGAGGCTAAATTTCGTAGTGTCAACCGCATACACCAAACGAATGGTAAGGTAGGGTACCGACCGATTCAAAACATGCACACAAACATACCCCAGAAAAACCGGCAACAGATTTAAGTTTAAACACAAGCAAAGTGTAATCGATGGTCTTCATCTTTGCTAAGCTAAGTCACCTTCATGTTTAGCTGTCATAGCATGGCATGACTGTCTCATGACATGACTGTCTTCCATAACATGGCCTGACTGAAATAACATGACATGACATGACTCTTCGCGACAGCGACATGACTGTTTGTCTTAGCATGAAAATGACCGGTCATGACCGGTGAAAAAGGTATCAGTGTGCCACTCCAGACATGGTGAACGTCTCGTATCTTCCATAGGTCGGCTGCATCTGATGTGGCGCCAGGTCCCACGGGGTGGTCATGATGCGCCATTTCTGAAATAAACAACACTGTTGTTATGATCAAGAATTCTTATTTGAATGATTATCCAAGATTGATTGGAGAAACAATAACAGCTTCGACGTAACATGGCTAAGGAAGTATATATGGAGGAGTATGCCATTTCTGAAGCAGATATTTCTATTGATTTCCAACAACTCTTACTGAACAATCTGATCACAATACACATCGCGAACTAGGAATGTCATAAGGTTTAGATGGTCCGACACCACTCTCAGAGTCTGAGCAGGAGAACCACCAAGGTTTATGCATAGTCCTGCCGCGCAAATACGATGGCATTACATTGGTTCAGAGGTCATTACTTCTGGTCAGAGGCCACCCGAACGTAATATTTTTGCCTTTTCACGGCAGAGCTGTAGATCAGTGTGGTTTATATAGTTTCTACCTCATAACAGCCATGGAAAGTATCGAAGTGATCGGCCACTCGGCGTACCTATGGCAGACATTGAAACTTTCCATGTGAGGTCACTTGAAGTGACCTGCTGAACTGACCTTGAGTGACCTTGGTCTGAAATTTTTACAACATGCGCAGAAAAGATGTGTGATAAGGTGTGGCAAAAACAGCGGCGAGCCCACCGGTGTTTATTTAGATGTTCGCGAACAAAACCACAGGGCGTGTCCAACCCCGCCCCCAAGCAGGGCGCGGGTTAACCTGTAATTGGCGCCACTAGTCGTACAGTCTCAAACATACCTGTGATTGACCTCACAAGCTGTACAGTCTCAAACATACCTGTCTCATCGTGCCGGGTCTTGTAAAAAGCAGGAAAACCGCCGAAATGACGACGAAGAGGAAATATAGTGCAGCCGCCACCGCTCCGACGATACTCAGCAGGGAGTAAATGGAGAATAACGAGAGAATAAAAAGAACCTGGCGGTACAAGATAATGTTACTGGCGTAAATTGTCAAAGTTACTGACGAATGGTTAATAGCCGTTTTCACGACGGCCATCTGGTACACATTTGGTGCACATCTGGTGCAGATCAGGTGCAGATTTGGTCAGATCAGGTTCAGTGTGTCTCTTAGTAGCTATCAGCTAGGATTGCACTAATTGCTTATATGCCTGCTTTGTCATATTATCAGAGAGCATCATCGATTAAAACACTAAAATAAATTCATAAAATGAAGAAATTTGCTGTAAAAGAAATTAGGTGCATATTTGGTCAAAGCAGGTGCATTCGCCGGATAGCCCGTCGTGAAAACGGCTAATGTTGATCAGCTAACGTAGATATTTGTGGCATAGACAAAGCTTTTGCTAATGATGTAACGAAGGTGTCTATTCAGACAGCAATGAATATTAGCTCTATCGACGTAACGTAGGTATTGAACTTAATGGTAATGAACAGGGTATGCGTTATAAAACGTTTTGACGCATAACCAGTCTTCATAATCACTTACAACATAAGCTGCTAATCTATCGAAAAAAATAACTGGGACACGACATCATACAACCTTGAGCCTAGCATCATTGTCCCTGACGTCATAACCTAACCTACCATCAAACCCACTGACGTCATAAGATAACATACCCACTGACGTCATAACATTCCTTACCGTCAAAACAATCGGTGTGATAATTCCCCAGAACAGCAGCGGGTACGGACATCCGCAGAACCTGCCCTGCATGGCCGACCAACACGTCTGGAATCGTCGAGCTCCGAACACGGCAGAGACAGCGACACATTCGAGGATACAGATAACGATCATGGATTGTTGGCTATAGGTGACCTGCTCAGCTTCTGCCATGGACCGCCAGGAGTTCTGTAAGAAATAACAGAGAGAGACGCAGTGTCACACAATTATGGAGGTCACAACAAAGGAGGTTTACAAAATCGATAGAGAACACAAAATTTTCAAAATTTCGATCGTCGCAAAATTCTGGGGGTCACAAAAAGAAGGTTTACAAAAATAAAAAAGAAATTCATTGGGATGCAGATCCCGAAAGAAAATTATTTTCTGGCTCTCACACCCATTTTTAAAGAACATTTTCCTCTTCAACTTGGCGGAGATAAAGCATTTGCGTGGATGGTCGTTTTACATCATGTATGTTACCTCATTAGTAAGAAATTAGTGGCTATTGATCTTCTCTGCATCTTTTCGGGCCTTACTTGACCGGCGATTTTCCCGACTCATTCCCTTTTTGGAGAGCGGGATTTTCCCCTGACACCCAAGCCAAAATAAAGCTGTAACACTGGTGAAACATAGCGAAATATAAAGATGTTAAAATCGTTGACCTTTTAGGGGCCGTCTCCGCCCGGAATCCCACCGCGCGGAATCCCACCTTACTTTGTCTACAAAAGGTATTTAAAAAAACAGCGACTTAATTGGTTAACCTCAAACCATGTGTAGGTATACCTGAATGATTGAGAGTATTACTGTTGTCAGTTTCGCTTGATACAGCTTCCAACTGTTTCTCATCCTACCTTTCTGTAGTAGGTATTTAACTGTTTTTCATTTTAGCTTGTTACAGTATCAACTGTCATGCATCTTATCTTACCGTGTTACATACAGTATCCAACTGTTTTCATCTTACCTTGTTCCAGTTTCCAACTTTTTAAATCTTACCTTGTTATAGTCTCTAACTATTTTTAATCTTACTTGGTTACAGTATCCAACTGTTTGTCATCTTACCTTGTTACAGTATCCAGCTGTTTTTCATCTTACCCTGCTACAGTATCTAACTGTTTTTCATCTTTTCCTGGTACAGTATCAAACTGTTTTTCATCTTACCTTGTTGCAGTTTCCAACTTAACCCTCGCATGTGTAGGGGGGGTCGGATGGACCCCCCCCATGGTTTTTCGCGAATAACTCGCGTAAAAAGCGGCCGATCGCGACGAAACTTTCAGTACCCTCGCATTGATCAATTTTACACCTACCCTGAAAATTTCATGACCCTGACCCAAATAACCTTTGACCTGTGACCTCTTTTCCGAGACCATGTTTGGCCGGAATCGCGATTTCGCGTATGTCGGCTCGCACTAGCCGCGTGTTTGCAAGCTTTTCGTGGTTTCAAACGTTCAAACATGTGATTTGATGTTACTCCCGTGTGTGTCAAGGTCACCTGAAGGTCAGGTCAGGTCATCGACCTTTGGTGACCTCGGGTGACCTCGGGTCACTTTTTCGAGTTTTACATGTTTCTAGGCTAGTTTTTGGAGCTGAATTCGAATTTAGCAACCATCTGAACATTTACGAAGTAGTTTTGGTGACTTCGTAACATGTTACGAAGCTGTCAGAGGCGGTTGACACGTACTACGAATACCCGTCACGACGCCTACTGGTTGACCTGACCTGACCTGACCCGACCTGGTCTAAATGCTTCAAGACATCATCTGTGATCAAAACTAACACGATATTCGTGATCAGCACCCCGAAAAACCCCTTAGCAGCCACACTTTACGACTTTCTAACAGGTCCCGATTTTCCCGACTTTGGGCCATTGACCTGACCTGGAAGGTCAACCAATGACCTAGGACCTTAAAATTGGGTATCATCGGCTTCCTCTCGTCACGGGCAACACGCTCGTTTTTTCCGCGAAGCTCTAGCTCGATCAGGGGCCAAACGGCAAGGGGGGGTCCAACCGACCCCCCTACACATTAGAAGCTGGCAAACGCCGCACACATGCGAGGGTTAATTCATCCTATCTTTTTATAGTATCTAACTATTTTTCATGTTAGGTACCTGATCACAGTATCCAACTGTTTTCATCTTACCTTGTTACAGTAACCAATACTGTATGCCAGCCAAGGGAGAGCAAAAACTGATACAAGAACATGCTTTCTCAGGAGCTGGCGGAACCTGTCAACAAAACGCATGAGTCAATCACTTATTTTCATCGAAACTTACAATACCTATATGACAGCTTACAATGTGTGTGATAATTCGAATAAAATACGTGGCAAAAATGCGAAGATGTGTGTCAGTTATCAGGGGCGGATCCAGCCGATCCGTTTGGGGAGGGCAAAAGTTTAGCCGACCATCGGCGACCCCGACCCACCACCGCGCCAGTGACCAAGTGACTTTACAACGCCAGTAGGGTAGCCCGGGGCAAGTCGCCCACCTCAATAGAAAATGCGTATATATCATACGTTTTCCTTATTACAAACGAGTTTGTGATGCTATTTTATCAATTGGTTATTTATCTTGAATGTATGCAAGAGCTCAGTGTTCCTGATGAAGAGAAGTTGTTCATTTTTGCGATTTACAAAGAGGAAAGGTCATGTTACCCATATACGGGGTAAGATGGTGTAAAATGTCCTATGTTAACCCGTGCGCAGCCGCGCTGGGGCTCTTGGATTTTCACGACCCTGGGGGATGTTTGAACACCCATCTACCTTCTAACTCGGCTCCTGGGCCATGTAGCAAAACGCGGTAGGCGGCGTTTGAAAGATCGTCAAGCATAATGACCAAATAACCCCAGTCACTTTGAAGGCCAGGTCAGAGGTCAGGTCACCAGAGGCCATCAAAGGCCAAATTCGACAATATTTAGGTCTAGTTTCGACAACTTTTGAAAAACCGGCGCATAACTCGGAAACGAATAGAGCTAGAGCACCCCAGAAAACTGATTTGAGGCCTGTTATTGCTTTTTCTGGATAATTCCCTCAGATTGGACCTCAGATGAATGGCTTAGCCTCTAGGGGGAACTGCCAAAATAGACGATTTTTACGGGAACGGATTTTCTGCGATAACTTTTGACTCAAACCTTGTAAGATTTTACTTTTATTGATATCGTGCTCCTCTCGTCAAGACGCGTCGAATGAGTTATAATTTGATCTTAAAGAGTGAACTTAAAACTTTGACAATTGGTCAAGGTCATGACCTGACCGAAAAAGGTCGTGTTGCATATCAGTCGATCCGTATTGTCAAGCTGAACACATCTAAGGTGTTTCTATTGCTCTAGATTGCGTCTATCAAAAGTTATTAGCGAACTGTTGCAAACTGTTGCACATCTTTCGTGACCTGAGATAACCTCAGGGACATAAGGAGGGGTCACGGGTGCCATTTTCCGGTTCACAGTGTCCTGTTTAGGTTGTAACTCGGTATTGTTAAGAATGACGTTTTTTATAAATTTAGCACGAATGTTTGAAAGGACGGATTGACGGAGCCGGAGCCCACGCTAAGCAGAGCTTGTTGCGTAGAGCCCAACCCCTACCGTCCGATCGCGTAATTCCGGATAACAGGAGAATTTAGATGTCAAAGTTTAACATGCCCTTCAAAACCGGACACAGCAAGTCCCTCTCAGACTGACTTCAACTGGCTGCGGCTGCTCCCACCAACCGGCTCAGACCATCCCCGTCAGCAGTCTCAAATATCGAGCACCGGAGCGACTCGAGCCCGGGCTCTCACTACCGGGACTCCATTGCTGCTTTACCAACAGAGCTAACGGACAGGTTTGCCCAAAACAGGCGCCTTTCAATTTTCTCTTGACTTTTAGTGGAGAGGTCGCAAAATTGACCTAGCCTTAGGTCACCGATATAAAAATCATGTGATTAACATTTTATACATAGGTAGGTACTGTTGCCCTTATAAACTGCTGAAAGTTTCAAAGCAATCCGTCACTCGGTTTAGCTATGGCAAGCAATGGAACTGTTTTTAGGTTATGTCACTTGACGTGACTTAGTGACTTCGTGACCTTGAGAGACCTTGGTCTGAAATTTTCAGAACACATGAAAAAATGTCGAAAACGGCGGCTCGGAACGCCGCCGTTTTTTTTTTACGCGGAACGCTCCACAGCGCTGAGGCTCCCAACAAACGAAAAAACTGTGGATTGCTTAGATAGTTTCGAAAAGGGTGGTTGGCGTCTTACCCGACTGGGTATCTTGCCCCCGTGTTACCCCACACCATGGCCACACTGCATAATGCATATGCATGCATTCAGTTCAGGGAGTTCCATCTATGTATTATCAGCATACCGACCCAAAATATCAGCAGCCAGTGGTCAGCTCCTTCCTTCGGAATGGCCGTCAAGGAAAGAAGCCCTGGTTTTCGTCCATATCGGCATCGACGCCGTATTAGATTTTCTCATCGCTACATGCTTTGGGAGGGGAAAAAAGATAGTCTTGCCCACACGAGTTGGCTTTGGGGAGGGCAAATGCCCATTTTGCCCTCCCCTGGATCCGCCACTGTCAGTTATTTCGTACGATGCTGACGTAGCATGCTAGAATGATCAGACACATTAGAACTAACTGTGTTCATGCACAGTTAGTTCTAATGTGTCTTCAAATTATATTGCTTTGATTTGAATCTATTTTAAAGTATTAAAGTTTATGTATTTCGAAACTTAAAAGAATTGGTTACGGAGCAGGGGTCGTTTCCAAATATTAAAAAAAAAAAACAGCTGAACCGATTGCGCTCAAATTTGGTAAACGGCTAGGGACAAGTTAGCGAGGTGTCGTGCAAAGGTCAGTTGGGACCTAGTTTGTACTTGCGCACGTGCAGGGTGCCGCTTCCAGATCTCGAGAGCGGCTGGGCTGATTACGCTCAAATTTGGCACTTCACTAGAAACCGGTAAGTAGATTGCCGTACACAAGTCGTTTGGAAGTACCCCCTCGCAATTCCGCACATGCAGGGTTCACCCTCTCCATCGCTCCGTTTGTCGACCCAAAAGGCGTTTTACTGGTTTCATACGCCCAAAAACGACCTAGCTTTTAAATTGTAATATCTATCTCAAACAACAAATAGAGAGATGTTCTTTTTCTTACCTAGGTGTATGAGGCAGCAGATCCCATATAGCCATAACTGTTGTCTCCACAGTCCACAAAGCCATCGAGTAACAACTAAGGAGAATGCAAATCAAGTAACAGGCCGTCCAGAAACCGCCACCAGGGGTGTAGAGCAGAAGAGTTTCGGTTACCATGGCAACCACATCGAGGCCACCTGAAATAAGAGTGTGGGATATAAAATAGTTAAAATTTTCGGGATTCATGTCAATATCGGATCAACTGAGAACAGATAACTGTCATAGTATTGTTAACCCGCGCCCCACTGCAACTGGGGGGGGGGGGCTATTTATCTATAGCCCCCTCCCGTTTTTCTGCAATAACTTCTAAACCGCTTGACGTATCGCCGCCAAACTTTCAGTACCTTCGGCTGCATCAATTTGACACCTTGTGTCAAAATTTGAACTTCGTATCTATCATAGGTCGGCCGGAAATGACGTCAGAGTGACGTCATGTTCGGCCGATTTCGACGCAAAACATTGAACTACGGGAATTGCTTCCAAGAGCTCAGTTTTTGAGCTAGATCCAATTTCTTTGCATGAAAGGACTCCGAATGGACTGCGCTATCAAACTGCTAACTCGAATTTTCAAAATTTTCAAAATTTTGAAAATATAAATAGCACCATCGTGTTGCTGAGCTCAAACTGCATCCGATAGACATGTTTTTTATTCAAAAATTTCAACTTTAAAATTTGACCTTTTTTGACCTGAAAGTGACCTGACCTCAGCTATATTCAGATGAAAATGGCCTCAAATGACACAGACGACACCGAATTCGAAATCTATGACCTAAATGGACCATAAAACATGTGTCACGTAACCGACTTCTGACATAAGATTTCTGTGACATATGATGACCTGACCCTGACCTGAAAATCAAAGTACAAGTTTGGTACCCTCAGGGTACCTAAAGCATCTGTTCACGAGTGCGTAAACCAAAACTCAGCCTGATCTGACTTGTAAGACGGCAGCCAAAGCCCAAAATGTGAACAAGCCAAATATCGATAATTTTTATTTTGACCTGACCTGTGACGTCATCGGTGACCTCGAGGTCAATGAAATTAGGTTTCGCTCGACAGTTTTTCCGGGGGTATCAGATGCTGTTTGAATTTTGACGATCGGCCCAGTAGTTCGGAGTTAGGAGGGGGGGGGCTATGAATAGCCCCCCCCCCCCCAGTAGGGCGTGTTATACACAGACCCCAGTGGGGCGCGGGTTAACTCAAGCTGGATACAGGAGAACCGCTTTACTCATCATTCCCCGTCGAGTGTGGGAGACTAAGAATGTATCATAGGTACCTATCTTCGTGCGCATTAAGAGCTATCGATTGCTTTATACCGCGTCTTTCTAGCCCTCTTAGTTTTTGAGTTAGATGTGAGTGGTAACTTATGCCCCCCCCCCCACTAGGGCGAAGTTGGCTGAGACCGCCACTGGGGCGCGGGTTAAACGCGTCGGAATGGCCCAATACCGCGTGACGTCATCAAGGGTCACCAAAGTTTTTTTTTTGTTGCTAATAAATCCTAACAGGAACGAGATACAGTCGCCCGGACGGTCTTTTAGTGTTCAGCTCATCAAGGCGCATCGAATGATATACATGATGAACTTGAGGTCACGTGACCTAAGGTCAACTTTTGACATTGACCTTTCGAGGTCAACACAATTAGGGTTCGATGGGGATTGACATGAGGATCACGATGGTGCCATTAGTTTTTTCCTAGCTTCGTTACTTCGAAAATTATTCGAGAAAAACTCTCCTCATATTAAGCGTCGCGATTTTGACTTTTTTGCTCCTGTGACGTCATCTTTGACGTGACCTGAAAATGACCTGAATAAAAATGGTAGACCGTGTCCGTGCGTACCCCATGCCGTTTACCGCTTGTCTCTATCTTGCTCCGTTCTCGAGATCTCGGGGGGGGGGGGGGGGGGGTGGTCAACCATCCACCCAGTCGGTTCTAAGTTGGCGCAGACCCCGTCGGTGCGCGGTTTAATACTATCAAGCGCAAATAATGATAGGCTAGGTATCATATTTTCTCAAGCAATCTTACTGCACATATTTATTTGGACAATTATTTGTTCAACGGAGTAAAGAATAGATAGATTTATCTTCAAATAATAAAAAAGTAGAAACAGAATCAGCTGAAGGTGTTTAAAATCAGCATTGCACGATTTGGCGGCTCATATTGTTAAACACATCAAAGGTAAACCCAAGACTGTCAATGTTTGCGCATCTTTGCAGATATAATTGTACGTTCTCTCTTGATACCTTGAAAGTACGCGCCAAGAAACGCGCATCCAAAGGATCCATCGAGTCAAACTGAGGAAGGGCTGCTAAATTTGAGAGTTACCGAGCCAGTTAATTAACCTGGGGATGGATGAGGATGTCAATTGGTTCAGTGACTTTAATATTTAGCAGGTAGGGCTTCATGAATCATCCGCACCGATACGCATCGAGCGGTACTTTCGAGAGAGACGGTACTTCTACATATAAGGATCCTACAATGAACGTAAAATCTTTATGAACAACTTACCGGTATTCACGTCAGAAAAATTCCTTCCAACGGCATGAGCCAGGGTGCCGATGATTCCAGGCACAGTAAGTCCTGAAAAAGAAGAAGACCCTAGGGAAACCGCAACAGCGATCCAGCGACTCATTTTGATAGGAAAATGGTACATATATAGTTGTAAGGTTAGAAAAGAAAAGCCAAGGCTTGTACACTTGTAACAAAAGTGAAAATTCTGACACAAGCTGAATTTATATATACGCCCATGACAAGAATGAAGTGAAATTAGAGTACGAGGTATTAATATGGTACTGTGCTATAACCAAACATGCTAATGTAGTGAGCATCATGTATGTGCGTTGCAAATTGTTGTAGCGGTGTTGTAAAGCAAATCTGTAATAAAAAGTGATGGAAATATAAGAACTGAAAAAGAAAACCACTCAGATTGTCAACATCACAAAACATGTTCTACTGCAGGTAGTGATTGCTAATTATAATCTACCAGCAAGCCATTGACTAAAAATGAAATTTGCATGGACATGACGCCATAGGAGGCAGAATATGATGAAAATTGAAGCTTATAATGAAGTGTCTAGATCACCCAATTTACTCAAACTTTTTCGCTGCTTCAAATGAAAACTTATATGATCCCACATAGTAGGAAGATTTCAAGATGGTATATACTCGTATGTCCCAGCAAA